AACTAATAAATAAAACTAAGACCTGGTTTGATGGTGGAAAGCAATAAGATAGATAAACTATTGGCTAACTTGGTTTTTAAAAAGGAAAGAAGGACATCTCCAGAGGCCTGGTGATGGAAAATACTATCCACATCCAACTAAAGAACTATGGAAGTCGAATCGCTATCATTTTTTTTCTCTTCTGTTGAGTTTTGTTTCCTCTCCCTGATGGTTTCTCCTATTAGTTTTAATTTTTACTTACAACTTCACTAATGTGAAAATATATTTAATGAGAATGTAAATGCATAGCCTGTATCAGACTGTGTGCCCGTCTTGGGGAGGGGTGGTAGGGAGGAAGGGGGAGAAAATTTTTAAACTCAAAAGCATATGGAAGTGATTGTTGATAAATCCAAATAAATTTATAAAATTTTGAAAAAGAAGAAAACAAAATTACCAGTGTCAAAAATGAAAAGGGAGAATTCATCATCAATGAAGATAAAATTAAAGCAATTGTTAAGAGCTATTTCGCCCCATTAGGTGCCTACAAATTTAACAATCTAAGTCAATTAGATGAATTTTTACAAAGATGTAAATTGCCCAGATTAGCAAAAGAGAAAGTAGAATACTTAAATAACATTCTTAGAAAAATGAATTGAATTTCCAGCTCTGATCAGCGGAGTGGCAGTTGCGCAGCCCTCCCCCTCTGCCATTTTGTAGCAAGGGGAGGTGGGAGAGGGAGGAGGTTGGGGAGAGATTTGGGAGCGGGTTTCCCTATTCAGCTCACCCTGCTTCCTCCCTCCAATCCCTTCCCGGTTCCCCCTCTCCCTCTCTCCTCACGCCCCGCCCGCTCGGCTCCCAGACTCTCCAAGGTGCTTTTCACTTTGCGGAGGCTGCCAGTTCCAGGAGCTGCGGGGCAGCGACCCGGCTTCCCTCCTATCTGAGGCCACAATGAGCTTTATGTTGCTTTTTAGTCGTCAGGGGAAAAGCTCCGACTCCAGAAATGGTATGCCCCTCTATCGGACAAAGAAAAGAAAAGAAAAGGAAAAAATATATATATTTATACATACATACATATATATATGTAGATATGTATGGGTGTGTGTGTGTACATATATATATAAATATATATAAATATAAATATATATACATATATGTATGTATTGTGTGTGTATATATATACATGTGTATATATATACATACACACATACATACATAAAGAATTTGTTCAAACAGTTTCAGCCCATATACCAAAATGTACAGCTTTTTGGAGTGGCGAGATCTGAAGACTGTCTACAAAAGATATGGTACCCCAATGTATTTCTGCTGTGTTAGTGAAGATAAGGACAATGAACTAATTACCCTGGAAATAATTCATCATTAAGTTGAACTACTGGACAAATATTTTGTCAGTGTCTCTGAACCTGATGTCATCTTTAATTCTGAGAAAGCTGATTTTATTCTGGATGAATTTCTTTTAGGGGAGAAGTTCAGGAAACATCCAAGAGAAATGTACTTAAAGCCATTGAACAAGCAGATCTGCACCAAGAGGAAACTTAAATCCCATTTAGTGTTCTTGAAGAAATTGGACTGGGGCAGCTAGGTGGCTCAGTGGATAGAGCACTGGCCCTAGAGTCAGGAGGATCTGAGTTCAAATCCAAACTCAGACCAGGCACTTAACACTTACTAGTTGTGTGACCCTGGGCAAGTCATTTAACCCCAATTGCCAAAAAAACAACAATGAAATAAAACAAGCAAGAAATTGGACTGATATAAGCTAGCTCCTATGGTGATGACATCATGTGGTCTTACTTACTGTAGATGTTCACTGCCTTCAAGTCAATGTTTAACTAAGTGTCCAAGATGCTGTTTGTCAGCATTACTGTTTGGCTAAGCCACTTCATTCAAGCCTCCATAAAAACACCCCACTTTTTCTTTTTATTTTCAATTTTATTAATTTCTTGATTTATCAACAATCACTTCCATACGCTTTTGAGTTGAAAATTTTTCTCCCCCTTCCTCCCCCCTTTACATTTACATTCCTATGAAACATATTTTCACATTAGTGAAGTTGTAAGTAAAAATTAAAACCAATGGGAGGAACCACCAGAAAGATGAAACAAAACTCAACAGAAGGTAAAAATAAGTGATAGCGATTCGACTTCCATAGTTCTTTCTTTGGATGTGGACAGCATTTTCCATCCCAAGGCCTCTGGAGATGTCTTAGATCCTTGTAATGCTGAGAAGGGTTCAGTTTAACAATATTAGTCACTGCATAACATGGCTGTTATTGTGTACAAAGTCCTCTTGGTTCTGCTCACTTCACTCAGCATCAGACCATATAGGTCTTTCCAGGTTTTTTGGAAGTCAGCATGTTCATCATTTCCTATAGCACAATAGTATTCCATTACATTCATATACCACAACTTGCTCAGCCATTACTCAACTGATGGGCATCCTCTCAATTTCCAATTCTTTGCCACCACAAAAAGAGCTGCTGTGAATATTTTTGTACATGTGGGTCCTTTTCCCATTTGTTTGATCTCTTTGGGAAATAGCCCTAAAAGTGCTATTGCAGGATCAATGGGCATGCACATTTTTGTAACTGAATAGGGATAGAAAGGAATATACTTTTTTCTCAGCAGTACATGGCACATACACAAAAATTGACCATGTACTAGTGCATAAAAACCTCACAATCCAATGCAGAAAGGCAGAAATATTCAATGCATGCTTTCTGATCATGATGCAACAAAAATTATATGTAATAAAGGGCCATGGAAAGACAGACTAAAAAATAATTGGAAACTAAATAATCCAATCCTAAAAAATAATTGGGTCAAACAACAAATCATAGAAACAATCAATAATTTCATTCAAGAGAATGACAATAATGAGACAACATACCAAAACTTATGGGATACAGCGAAAGCAGTTCGTAAGGGAAGTTTTGTATCTCTAAATGCTTACATAAATAAAATAGAAAAAGAGAAGATTAATGAATTGAGCATACAACTAAAAAAACTAGAAAAAGAATGACTTAAAAATCCTCAACTACACAGTAAATTAGAAATATTGAAAATCAAAGAAAAAATTAATAAAATTGAAATTAAGAAAACTATTGAAATAATAAATAAAACTAAGAGCTGGCTTTATAAAAAAAACCAATAAAATAGATAAACCTTTGGTTAATTTAATTTAAAAAAAAAGAAAGAAGAAAACCAAATTACTAGTATCAAGAATGAAAAGGGCAAAGCTGCTAACAAGGAAGAGGAAATTAAAATAATAATTAGGAATTATTTTGCCCAACTATATGCCAACAAATTTGACAATCTTACTGAAATGGATACATATTTACAAAAATATAAACTGCCCAGATTAACCAAAGAGGAAGTAAAATATTTAAATAACCCCATCTCAGAAAAAGAAATTGAACAAGCCATTGATGAACTCTCTAGGAAAAAAGCTCCAGGGCCAGATGGATTTCCATGTGAATTCTATCAAACATTTAAAGAACAATTAATTCCAATACTCTATAGACTATTTGGGAAAATAGGTGAAGAAGGAGTCTTACCAAATTCTTTTTATGATACAAATATGGTGTTGATACCTAACCAGGAAGAATCAAAATACAGAAAGAAAATTATAGACCAATTTCTCTAATGAATATAGATGCAAAAATTTTAAACAAAATAGTAGCAAATAGATTGCAGCAACTTATCACAAGAATAATACACTATGATCAGGTAGGATTTATGCCAGGAATGAAGGGTTGGTTCAATATTGGGAAAACTATCAGCATCATTGAGCATATCAACACCAACACCAACAAAAACCGCATGATCATCTCCATAGATGCAGAAAAAGCTATTGATAAAGTACAACACCCATTGCTATTAAAAACCCTAGAAAGCATAGGTATAAATGGAGCCTTCCTTAAAATAATAAATAGCATTTATCTAAAATCTTCAGCAAGCATTATATGTAATGGGGATAGGCTAGAAGCATTTCCAATAAGATCAAGGGTGAAATAAGGATGTCCATCATCACCACTGTTATTCAATATTGTATTGGAAACCTTAGCTTTAGCAATAAGAAAAGAAAAAGAAATTGAAGGCATCAGAATAGGCAAAGAAGAAACGAAGCTATCATTCTTTGCAGATGACATGATGATACACTTAGAGAATCCTAGAGAATCAAGTAAAAAACTACTTGAAATAATAAACAACTTCTGCAAAGCTGCAGGCTATAAAAGAAACCCACATAAATCACAGTGTTTCTATATATTACCAAACAAAGCCCAACAGCAAAAGATAGAAAGAGAAATCCCATGTAAACTTACTGTAAACACTATAAAATATTTAGGAGTCTACCTCCCGAAACAAACCCAGGAACTCTATAAACATAAATATAAAACACTTTTCACACAAATAAAATCAGATCTATATAATTGGAAAAACATCAGTTGCTCATGGGCAGGCCGAGCTAATATAATAAAAATGACAATCCTACCTAAGCTAATTTACTTATTCAGTGCCATAGCAATCAAACTACCAAAAAATTATTTTATACAGTTAGAAAAAATAATAAGAAGATTCATTTGGAAAAACCAAACGTCCAGAATATCAAAGGAACTAATGAAAAGAAATGCGGGGAAGGCGGCCTAGCAATTCCAGATCTTATGTTGTATCATAAAGCAGCAATCATCAAAACTTCTTGGTACTGGCTAAGAAATAGGGAGGTGAATCAGTGGAACAGGTTAAGTGTGCAAGACACAATAGTCAATGACTATAGCAATCTATTATTTAATAAACCCGAAGACCCCAGCTTCTGGGATAAGAACCTACTCTCTGATAAAAACTGCTGGGAAAACTGGAAAAGAGTATGGCAGAAACTAGGTGTAGAGTGCGGACTCTGGGGAATTGGAGGGCTTAGGCCAGCCTGGGTCTTACGTATAGTTTGCACTAAGCCAGACAGCTCTGAAACTCAGGATGTGGGCTCATCACCTTCCGTGTTCATTTCTTGAGAACAGAATCCAGGAAGGGAGGAAATGGATAGGGGACAGGACAGGACCTCAGGAAAGGAAGTAACAGACAAGGTACAAGGAAGTAAGGAAATCACGTAATTAGGTTTGTGCTTTTCATGGAAGATAATGTTACTATTTCTTGATCCAGTACTATATAAGCCTGAGCCCTCAGATCAATAAACAAACTTTGTTCTTCACATCTTCCACCTGGCCCGTGAATCTTTCTCTCTTCACACTCTGCCGGCATCAGACCATGGCCGCAGACACTGGCGGCATTTGGCGCCCGGACAGGGACCTGAAAGGAAGGCTTCCCCCGTCAGAGTGGCCCGGGACAAGGTGGGCTCTTTGGCCAACAGTCCTAGAAAAGGAGCTCCGGTCGTCAAGAGAAGAAGGCTAACAAGGTAGGGCGATAATTTTCCTATACAGTTTTTTATTTTCACCAGGTTAAGCGGGGATTAAAAAGAAACGAGACTGCCGCTTTTCGGATTCTCTTAAAGTGACAGTAAATTTCAGAACTAGACTGCTGCTTTTCGGCATCTACGATTTAAAGTGAAAGCAAACCGCACAGGCAGACAAACGAGACTGCAGCTTTTCAGTGTCTCCAAAAGCGAAAGTAAACTTAAGAACAAAACTGGTGCTTTTCAGGGTCTCCAGTTTAAAGTGAAAGCAAACCGCTTGGGCTAAGTAGTGTCCTATAAGATAGCTAATTTGGGGCAGAGCTCGTGGGCAGAACAGAGACAGACAATATTATTTGAAAATGTTCAAATACAGGGGACACAACTAGAATTTCAGCATGCAAATAAGAACGTTGTCTTTCTTTAAATTGTCAACTGCATCTTTGTCATTTCTATTGAGAACAAACCAAGTGCCATTCTGCTACTGAAATCTCTGCATAAGATACTTGTACTGTCCAACCATTGCATTGCAAGTCATAGCTGAAATCAGTCCAGTGTTATCACCAAGATTCAATCTGCTGACTATTTTTCTGCCTATTCCAAGAATGTACTAATACCAACGTTGATTACACTAGGAAATGGCAGTGCTCAGTCTTTGTGGTGTTGCAATTTTCACATATTTGTGATTTTATTGATTATTGTTCAAAATAATAGTACTGTATGAGAACTTAATGATTATATCTTAGAATTATTTTGTATAGAAAGTATAGTTAGAAAAGTGGTTACCATGCTGCTGTCCTGTTCTTGTTAAAAAGTCCCATGTGTACAAGTAGAGTTTCCTCAAGTACAAGAGTGCTTTTTTCAGGTGATTATTAATTATTCTTGAAATAACATTAAAACACAGCATAATTCTGGTAAGTTTTAGTTGTTCAAATGGAATCTACCAGTAGTTCTGGACAGCCTTTTCTGGCTTCCAGGGTACAATTTTATGTAACATATATAAAAATTAAAATAAGATTCATAAATATTCAGGACATTGGCAGCTGATCACATTTACAAAGTCAGTGTGTAAGTGAAGTTATTACTCCCTCCATAATGCCTTATGGACAAGCAGGAGCTGTGATGTGAAGCTACATTGTATTTCCTATTTTACATATGTCTCCCTATTTGATTTTATTCAAGTTATAGTACATTCTGAAAAAGTTGGCCTTAGGTGTGTGTCGTTGTGGCATGCAAAGAGTTATGATGACTTTACAGTAAATGTTAGAATTTGTAGTTGTTATGATATTAGAAATTGTTGTGGCTTTCAAGAGTCTCAAAGAAAATTGTATACTAACATTTTTTGTCAGCCATCACATTTCCAAACAGTATTTAAATTTAAAAAAAAACTGTAAATGTGATACAGCAGATAAGAAGATTAACCAAAATCAGTGGTTAAGGAGATTTCATTTTAGATCCTTTTTGATAATCAAAGAAAATGGGACATCTGCCACATATATATATATATATATATATATATATATATATACATAAAGTTTTATTGAAGTTAGAGCTAAAATAGCATACTTAATTTTATAGCTTTTGTAGATACATGTCCTTTGCAACCTTCCATTCACCGCAGATCAGTTTGTAAATCAGAGTTCTATCTTAAGGTAATTCTACAAAAATGAAGCTTGTATCATGTTATCTACAACCACCATTTAGGTAACTTAAAAATTACATTGGTATTCAAAAAAGAGGAAAATTACTTAAGAAGCTAAGTTATATCAATAATTAGAAAACAAATCAACTTGTTTTCTTAATCAGGTGGGGAGGAAACTTCAAGGGTAGGAGTAAATAAACTCTCTGCTTTAGAAATTTGACATGAGCAGTTTATATGTTAAACACAGTCTAATGCACTGTGTGTACTAAAATTTCCAGTAAGATGTAGCTTGTAAATTTTCTGAATCAGCTCCTTAGAACTAGTTATAATATAGCTAAAATCTTAATATATTTTACAGTATATAAAAGACTATAACTTCGTAAGTCCTTTTTAACATATCTTTGATAGAACTTTTTGATTTAAAAAATTATTCATTCTGATTTTGTTAGAATATTAATAGCAATATTTTTAGGCTTTCATTTGTCCTGGTGGTTCTTTGAGAGGATTTGCAAGCAAATTAAACAAGTGAAGTGGGAAAGGGGACATTTATTTGTCTTTGAATATTTAGAAATAGATTTTTACCCTTGCCCAACAAAACCCTCTTGAATTCAGTAGATAACTAAAGAAATTCTTTTGCTTTACTGCAGAGTTCTACTGCCTAACTCCCCTCTTGTATTAGAAAATCCAGCATAAATTTGTCATAGCCTGGTCAGTGGTTAAAATAACATTTAAGAGTTGAAAATAATTTTTATTAATTAAACCATTAGGGAATCTTTTTTTAACTACAGATAGGAAACTTAGTTATTTCTGTGTCTTCAGCCAAGAAGCATAGCCTTAAACACATTTTTATACATACCTCATTTCTTAGCTACTTAAACTTATGCTGTTCTAAACATTACTTAATCATATTTAGTTGGCTATTTTTCTGCTGAACAATTACACAATGTGAGAGGCAGTCTTATTCTAAAATTCCTTTATTTCATATCAATGTGTGATTCATGTTTTTTAAGTGTAATTACAATGCAGGTGTCAGAGTATGTGCAAAAAAAAGTGGGGGAAAGATGAATATCATATGAAGACAAGCAGATACTTTGGATTAGTTACATATTTTAAGAAGACATAAGCAATATCATTTCTCATTTTGCTTTAGCGTTCTTGGCAATCCAAGACACCTCAAGACTGACAATGGTCCCACTTATACTAGCAGGAATTTTGCACAATGTTGTCTCACCTATAATATCACTCACTCTACTGGCATCCCACACAATCTTTCTGGACAAGCCACTGTTGAAAGGTGCAACAAGGATATTAAAATCCTCCTTGATACACAGAAAAAAAGAGGGAATAGAAAATAGGGTAAGAAGGATATTGGATCAGGAAATGCATACCATAAATTTAAAAAGGAGATTAGATAAGGTAATATATACCATAAATTTTTTGACACTAGATGATCAGGGATGTACACCTGCACAAAAACATTTTGCAGGACAAAATAACAGGTTGATAGATGAGCAATCAGATGTCACGGTAATGTGGAAGGATCCAAAGACGGGTAACTGGGATGGTCCAGTAAAATTACTAACCTGGGGTCGAGGTTATGCTTGTGTTTTTCCAGAACATGCAGGAGAACCAGTCTGGGTTCCCAAGAGGAACATCCGCACCTGTCAGCGTACTGACCGGAGGGATAGAGACCCTGAGCATCAAAGGAAAAACTGGTTGGAGAAACAAACGGAGGAGGAAGGTGACACCGAGAAGATGAAGAGCCAATAATAAGATATTGACAGTGACAACTGTCGCAGATGGCTCCAGGATGGCATTATGATTACATTGGACTTATATGCCTTATGCCATTTTGTGTTAAACCTGTAACTTGAAATGTGATTACCACTATACTTTTGTTTGTGTAACTCCCTATTTGCTTTCTAATACTACCAATTTAACTCTTCATCAAATATTGAATAAGCTTCAGGGTGCTTGGCATTCCAAAATATAACATGGATGGTATTGATCCTCAAGATATTGCTAATAAGCTGATGTACTATATCAAGCAACTTAACACTTTCCAGAATATTTCAAGTTTGCTGTTGCATTTCGTACCCTGATAGTATTCTTGTTACTCTTGATTGTCCTCCTGATGTGCATCCCACATTCTCAAGCTAGAACAGAAGAAAGGGGGAGATGTAGAGGGCTGCTCCGGGGAGTTGGAGGGCTTAAGCCAGTCCCGGTCTTACCTGTAGGTTGTACTAAGCCCAACTGCTGTGAAACTCAGGATGTGGGCTCACCACCCTACTGTTCCGTTTCTTGAGAACAGGATGCAGGAATGGAGGAAACAGATAGGGGACAGGACAGGGCACAGGAAAGACAACGTACAAGGAAGTAAGGAAATCACTTAATTAGGTTTGTGCTTTTCATGGAAAATAATGTTACTATTTCTTGATCCAGTACTATATAAGCCTGAGCCCTCAGATCAATAAACAAACTTTGTTCTTCACATCTTCCACCTGGCCCATAATTCTTTCTCTTTTCACATTCTGCCGGCATCAGACCACGGCCACGGACACAGTCACTCACGGCAACTAAGCATAGACCCAAATCTCACACCATATACAAAAATAAAGTCAAAATGGGTTCATGACTTAGATATAAAGGCTGATAGCATAAGTAAACTGGCAGAACAAGAAATAGTTAACTACCAGATCTATGGAGAACAGAAGAATTCATGACCAAACAGGAGATAGAGAACATTACGAAAAGCAAAATGGATAATTTTGATTACATTAAATTGAAAAGTTTTTCCACAAACAAAGCCAATGCAACTAAGATTAGAAGGAAGGTAGAAAATAGGGAAAGAATTTTTACAGCCAGTCTTTCTGATAAAGGCCTCATTTCTAAAATATATAGAGAATTAAGACAAATTTATAAGAACACAAGCCATTCCCCAATTGATAAATCGTCAAAGGATACGAACAGACAATTATCAGATGAAGAAATTAAGGCCATCTATAGTCATATTAAAAAATGCTCTAAATCATTATTGATTAGAGAAATGCAAATCAAAACATCTCTGAGGTACCACATCACACCTATCAGATTGGCCAACGTGATAAAACAGGAAAATGATAAATCTTGGAGAGGATGTGGGAAAATTGGAATGCTAATACATTGTTAGTGGAGTTGTGAAATGATCCAACCATTTTGGAGAACAATTTGAAACTATGCCCAAAGGGCTGCAAAAATGTGCATACCCTTTGATCCAGAAATAGCACTTCTAGGGCTATATCCCAAAGAGATCAAACAAATGGGAAAAGGACCCATATGTACAAAAATATACATAGCAACTCTTTTTGTGGTGGCAAAGAATTGGAAATTGAGAGGATGCCCATCAATTGGGGAATGGCTTAGCAAGTTGTGGTATATGAATGTAATGGAATGCTATTGTGCTATAAGAAATGATGAACAGGCTGACTTCAGAAAAAACCTGGGAAGACTTATATGGTCTGATGCTGAGTGAAGTGAACAGAACAAAGAGGATAAAGGCATATTTTTTGAGAAACTGAATGGTTATAGGGCAAGTTAGTTTATATCTCTCCATCTTTTCACACAAGGAACCTAAAAGACTATGATGTCCTGAAGTCCTAGTCTTCCCACTTCACACAGGTACCAAAGAGTGAGTGAGAGTTTCTCTGTGTTGTCTTTTTGTGGGTTACTAGGTGGTGCAGTGGAAAGAGTACCAGACATGGAGTCAGGAAAACTCATCTTCATGAGTTCAAATCCAGCCTCTTACTATTTATATGGTACTGGGCAAATCACTTAACCCTGTTTGTCTCAATTCCTCATCTGTTATATGGCCTGGAGAAGAAAACAGAAAACCACTCCAGTATCTTTGCAAAGAAAACCTCACACTGGGACACGGAGAGTTGGACACGACTGAAATGACGGAACAAGAAGAGGTACACTTCATAAGAACAAAAAGTTATATAGGCTCAGTAGCAATCCCAAATCATGTGGCTTTCCTTAGCTTGCTTTCTTTCCCCTAAGTCTGAAACAATCCTACATAGGACTGTTGTTTATGGGGAAGTGATTGTTCAGTCAAAACAAAATATAGCAATTATACAAAGAATTGTACTTAATTTGAGCAATGGAAAAGATGTACATGTGTCTTTATGGTACAAACATGATAGACACACACTAAAGCTTCACAGGGTATATCCTTCTTTCTCTGACTATATAACCCCTTCCTACCTTCAGATATCACCCGCTGATTCCAGACATGGAGGAAGACTTCACCTAACTACCCTTACATGGAGAACTATACTTTTGCTTATAATCTTATTTCCATGGGACCTTTATCACGATCAAATTCATTACCCTCTGCTTCAAGATCCTCCATAAGGGAACATTTGGCCTGCAGTCAAAAGATCTGAGTTCAAATCTACCCTTAGATACTGACTAGCTAAACTAATCACTGAACATCTTTTTGCCTCAGTTTCATCATCTCTAAAATGAAGAGTAATAATAGCACACCCCTACTGGAGTGGTTGCAAAGAGCAGATGAGATGACACTTATAAAGCATTTAACACAATGCCTGGCACGTAGTAGGTACTATATTTGTTAGCTCTTGTTGTAGTTGTTGTTGTTGTTCATTCATTCACTCATTTCCCACCTTGGTTTACTCATATGTCCCTACTACAAGTGTTCTAAACTTCCTGTAGCAGAGATGTGTTTGCCTTCTAGACAGGTTATCAGCAGTCATGATGAAAAAGGTTATCAGAGACTTTTCCCTGGCAGTAGCTGATAGAATGCCACGAGAGAGAGATTTTTTTCCTAATTTCAGCTCTAGTAGGCTAAGCAAGGTGACCTATTCCAGAAGTTGCCAGATAATCATAACTTTTAAGACTATTTCAAAAAGTATAGATACTTTTCCTTCATGTGGATTCTGATCCACATTGGCTATACAGCACCTTGCTTGGTCTTCAGAGGCTCAGCATTTTGGATGATCATTATCCTTGCAGAATGAAGTAATTTTGATTTGCCTGTGACCTCTGGAAGGTAGCAAATCACTGACCACCAGGTTCATTTCACCAATTTTATACAAAATTTCCTAACATTGTATGTCTATTGGCTGCCATTCACCCTCTTCTGCAATGCCCAACAAGAAATACATGGCAAGAGAAAAGTCTCAATATCCTATACAGCGTGGGGTCTTGTCTCAGTTATTCACTTTCTTGACACTCTTACCAGAGGTTGTTTAGTGAACACTGAGAAAGGGTGGTCACTAAGAGCCAGCATGGGGTCGTCAAGACTAGGTCTTGCTAGACTAATCTGATTTTTTTTAACAGTATTATTAGAGTACTAGATCTAGGCAATGCCTTGACAGACTAGACTCAGATTTCAGCAAGGCATCTTACAATGTTTCTTATGACATATTCATACAGAAGATGGAGAAGACACTGGTCAGACTGCCAGAACACATGTTCCTAGGAATCCCAGGTCACGTCAAGTTCTGGTCATTGTCCAGTAGGAGGAAACTAATGTAGGTGCTAGGCAGCTGAGCACTAGATCTCTGAACAGAAAAGAGAACATTCCAACCAATTGGAAAATGAACTAGAGTAATGGATCTTGGAAGGTAAAAGTCACAGCTGAGGGGGGAATGATTGCAGCAAACTGTAAAGACTAGAAAGATGGGAGAAGGAGATCTCTCTTCTCCCTCCAGGACTCTTCCACTCCACAATCATTCTCTTCCTTTCTTTCTTCCTTTCTTTCATTCCTTCCTTCCATTCTTTCTCTATTTCTGCTTTTTTCTTCTTTCCTTTCTCTCTATCTCTCTTTCTTCCTTCTTTCCATTCTCCATCTACTTTCTTGTCTTTCTCTCTCCTTTTTTTTTCTTTCTTTTCCACTCTTTCTTCCTCTGTCTCTCTGTCTCTGTTTCTCTGTGGGTCTCTGCCTCTATCTGTCTTTTTATTTTTCACTTAGTCTCTTTCTTCCTCCTTTAACTGGAGATAAAATACAACATGAAGCAATGCAGCTGCTGCCATGGACAAAAATATTGGCTTCCATACCTCTCACTACGTCCTCCCCAACATGCCACAGCTTTGGGGGCTTTGGTTTAAAAGTGAGTGTATTGCCGCTAATTTCTGTGAATACTATTCTTTTCTCTATTCTTGTCTTTCTATTCTTCCTCTATACCAAGCAGAAGCTTACCTATCCATTGCTAATGAATTCAAAAAGTGGCATATGTCTTCTGTCAGCAAACTTGTCACCATTATCAATAAGAGCTTCTTTCACTGCCTTGTAACACGACAACACGCTCAACACCAAATTTCAGAGTGAACACTGGGCCATACTGTTTCACTAGCTGTGAAAAGAGATGTGGGCAGTAGTGAGAGGTTCATCACTGAATCAGGTGATAAACTGCTGGCATTACTATTGTTGACCTTATTGGAGAAGTTCTCAATCCACTATCAGCTCCTTCAAAATATCTCTGAAATTTATTACAGAGACAATGATGCAACCCATGAATCCAAACCAAACCACAGATGGCTCAAAAGGCTAAAAGTTCATTCTGTGCCTTTGGCTAGAAGTCAGAAGACTGGTTAATGTGGCACAGTTTATGACCTCGGTGCAATATCCCCAACTTTTAGAGAGGTTGAGCTTATATTTCATAGCTAAGTGCCATAGTGGATAGAGCACTGGACCTGGAAT